TGTGCGCCCAGTGCTCGTTTCCAGGCTCATCTGACGGCATTTGTGCTGCTGCCGAAGGACAAAAACAGAACCCAAGCCCCTGCGCATGAACTCACATACGTGCTGAGCCCACTGCAAGAAAACCAGGCCGTTCAGCTGCAACTTTGAGACAATGTCGTTAAACTGCATGCGCAGCCAGGGAGACGTTTGGCCAGCACGCAGCGAAGCCTACAAACTGTCGCAAAGCTGGCCTGCTTCAGCAATGTGTCGTAGTAATGGTGCAACCGGATGGTCGGTAGAAGGTCGCTGCCAGCCTGTTTGCATACCCTGGCTGTCAATTTTGGATTGCTACATACCTCCTAAGACAAAGCCACGAGTTTTCTGCAGACAAAATACGTAAGGTCGACATCATAGACTCGAGTAGTTCAGATCAGTCGATGGGTTCGGCCAGCTGTGGGTGACCAGGAATAAGATTTCAGGATCGACACTGACACCTCCTATACACAGGCAAACTCTTTGGAGCGGGCGACGGATCGGAAAATCACTAAAGAGAGATTACAAAATGCTGAAAATCTGGATCGAAAGATAAATGTCTTTCTCTCTTCTTCTGCTCACAGCTGCGCGCTCCCCCTCGCGAAGGAACACGCGGCGTTGCCATGAGCTGAGATGGTCCCCAGTCCAACAGGTCTGCGTAAGACCGGCAATATTTGGGATCAGTAGTCCAGGTATCAACTACGTTGCATCCTTCTTCCTCTTCCCTGGGCTCTAGGACCCTAGGAGGTTCTACAGCATCCTGCGGGTACGCCCGCAGCCCACACACCCAGCGTCCAGATCTGGTCCCACCCAGGAGTCCGTTCCCCTTCGCAGCATCGGAGCGGGCCTTGGACCCAGACAATCTCATCACAACATCCAGACCATAGCTCACCACCGACTCCACAAAAGCCTGCATCTAGTCATACCTGGGGCGTGAGACTTCTAGGTACCATGAAAAGAGGCGTATTCCCAACTGACTGCCAACAACCCCAAAACCTCGGCCAAGATCACCACACTAGCTCCAACCAGGTCGACATCACACCCTCCCTCGCATGGATGCTCATGACTCCCACTGCTGCACACTGCTGGTGCAATCGTGGCTCTGTACTGTCTGGGCGACCTAACACTCGCCTATGAGCAAAATGCATACCCCGACATTCATCCACTTCGGGGCCCCCATGCTCTGCTCTGCTGGCAGAGCTCGCTGGCACTTCGTAGATTTGCAACTGTCAAGGGTCACAGGATCCGGACATCATTAGGCAGATCAACACTGGTCATCATCTCCCAGAACTGCAAAGCAAACAGCATAACTCCCTCCCCCCATCAATACTAACAATCTTACCCCTTGCCTATTCCGAATGCGCTGCTCGGTCGAGAGGGGAATAGATGTCGCGTGGTCATGTTCGTTTTCTACAACCTAGGAAGGCCAAGATTCAAAGTATGCAGGACACAGGTGCACACTAAACATCACTTTCCCACCCCTTTCACTGATTCACACTGGGCGCAGCAGACAATGTTCTGTACATGGTGTACATACGTACTTGAGGATCGGGCACGCGCTGGGGTGATGATAGGCAACAGCATAACTGTGTTTCGGGCGCCTCGCCTCCTGTCGAGGTCTACATCTTCTTGTGCCTTTTCTTTTTACGGGAGGTGTTGATCTTGCCTTCAATGCCCGGAGGCGGGTGGGAATGTTGGATTCGTGCCTTCTCCTACTTCACCCAGCGCAGACATTACTGTTTGTTCAGACCCAGGAATGCAAGAACCCCGCAGAAGTGGGAAATGAGCTCAACGTACCCTCTCCCTCTCCTGTACCCAGTTGCCTGTCAGCCGCAATGCCCGCTCTCCGAAGAGAGCCACCACCGAAATCTTTATCGTACACGAACTTCCAAAAAATATTGCATTTCTGGTACTAGGTCATCGCTCCCAAACATGTTCTGGCTTTACATAATCTTGGAAAGCCTCTGGAACTTGAGCTGCCTTCATCTGCATTCGAAAACAAACAAAGAACATCAGATCGGAGCAATGAAGAAATAAATACAGGGGGAGAGATAGAGAGTGACAAAAGGAAGGACAGATAGAGGCAAGAAATGAAACGATTTGAGAAAGATAGAAAGAGATGCGGAACCATTTTGGCTCCACTCTACCCTCGTTGTTAGGGCCCCGAGCCCTGTTCGATCTGTCCAGCTGGAAGGCTCTGAGACAGGCTCGAAGCCACGCGTCCGTTGCAATTGATGAGACAGACTGTATAACTGTAAGACCTGAGGCCCCATCACGGAAAGCTCCAAGTTCGCCAGGGGAGCACTTGCATTTGTTTCTCAGCAGCGGTCCAGCTTTCAGCACGCCCTCGTGCAAGCTGGCAAGACAGAGAGAGAGCGGAAAGGCTATGTTCTAGAGGGTTTGAATTGTTGGACCTCTTCTGCGCGTGTGTCTGCAGGGAGCTTGGAGAGACGAAGAACAGCAGGAAGTGAGAAGGAGACCACAAGCACAATGTTTGAGATAGTTTCCGGTCACACCACACGAGTTGCAAGCCATCAAGTGCCAGGACAAGACTGGAGACCCCGCCAAGAAGCTTGTCCATGAGCTGGCAGAGCTGCTGGCGCAGATCGACAAACGTAAATCACAAGGAATGGCAGTAGACTACGTCTGTCGATGTTTTAAAAGGCTCAAGAGGCACAGTGTCATGGCAATGAAGGCGCAAGGACTTGAAGACATCATGTACAAGGGCAAGATGGTTTCCGACCCCGGGACAGAAGCCAACAACACCACTGGGATGTTTTCCGTGAGATGAAGATGACACGTAAGGAAGTAGCAGTGCTGTGCAGCTGTGAAAGGGCCATGTCTTCAATGAAATCAAACCAGACAAGCGGGGGAGCTTCAAACACAAAGCCCAGGGACATTGTACAACGCAAACAGGCTCTTCAGTTTTGAGCATTGCGATAAGATAGGAGTGCAGGTCACTGTTCGCACAAAGATGCGAACAGGGCACCAAATTTTGTAGCCAAGCTGGCAAGCGGTATCCAAGGGAGTCTTGTTGGGTCCTCATACACTCTGTCGCTGTGAATGTATATGAATAGGGAAAAGGTGACGTCTCACAGCTGGACAGGGTTGGGCAGAAATGTCAAACAGGCAGCTTACCTTTCTGAAGGCTTAAGTGGTAGCACAGAACCAGTGAAGGAAGAAGGAATGAGCGAAAGAAAGAAATCAAAGAACAAAGTAAAGACAAGAACTACCAAGGAGCATCTCAGAACGGTAGCTTAGCTATCCCAACTAGCACGCAAGAAAAAACCCGAGCTTGAAAGTCTAACCCTTGCTGATTGATCCTCACATGTGGTTTGTGATCCCTGGACCCTCTCCCCTCTAGAGTCTCTAGAGGCATCGAAAGATGAAATGCGCCTGGTTGATGAAATGTGTAAAATCGTCGTTGATTTCAAATTCGTGGAGCTTGGCGAGGTTGCGGATGCCAATCAGCACGGAGCCTGCCATTGCCGGTCTGGCTAGGAAGTCGCGGAGCCCCAGCAGAACATTGTGTGTTCCCGATGCCGCCACGGCGTTCGCGACGCTCACGACCCCCACGCGGCGGGCTTTGGTCAGCTCCCTAAACTCCGGAGGCGCAGGCTCCGGAGGTTCTGCAGGCTCGGGCTTCGGTGGTTCGGGTTTCGGTGGCTCAGCGCTTGCTGGCGTTGGCGCCTTGGCGGCCTTAGCGCTTGCCGGCACCATCCTGGAAGAGCTCTGAGATGATCCCCTCGAGGCCTGGGAAGGCAATACCTGCACTGGCAAGGGAGGAGGGGGCGGAGCTGGAAGTGGCAATACGAGTGTTGCTTCCTGGCTCACCTCATCTACCAGCAGTGGTTCCAGCTGTCCCGTTCTAGGGAGAAGCTCACGTACTGAAGCTTGAGCTTCTGGGAGCCAGTCGTCTCCTAATTGCCTGGGGCGAAATTGAGGAAGACCATCAGCCAGCAGCTTAGGCAGCGGTGGAGTATCTCCAACCCGATGCTCTTCCAAGTCACTTCGCCGTGTCTTCTCCCTGGTCTTGCCAGGTTGCAGGATTGGATTGAACCTGACGCTAGGGACATGTCTTCTTGGTGGCTTCCGAATTTCAACTTCCGGGGAGCCAGGTTGCGAGGTCAGCTGAAGCATTGCAACCAAGACTAAACCATCTTTGAAGACAGAGGCATCATCAAGAGCTGCCGAAGTTAAACGATCAATTTGCAAGTGACAGGCATGTCACCTACCGCAAGGAGCACTCATGCAGTAAGTCAACTGAATCAGGGTATCTGATTACCGAATCCGGATCGCCATGAACTGCTTCATTCTGCAGGCTCGAGGTATTTGCATGCTTGGCAGCCTTGAGAAGTAATTACTTTGGACTTCGCACAACTATCATAGCTACTCCTGGAGCAAGCATGAAGACTGCGCGTGGTAGTGCTGGCAGGGTCTCCTGGACAAGTCTTTCCAAGACCCCAAACCCCGAAACTGCACCCAAAGCCTGAAACGCATCCACTTTTATGGAACACAATATGTTGGAATTCGTCGGCTTGGGAGCTTGGCGCCATGCATCGCTTGCAGGAGCCACACTTCATGTCGAGCTTACGATCATTATCTGGTGCAACACGCCTCACTGGATGGTAGCCTTAGGCTGCATATCCAGCTCCCGGCCCAACTACATTATCTGCACTGGACATAAGCTACAGGGGGACTGCTGTAATCTTCATGCAACTATGGCCAGGGTAACATGCGTGCGCTTGTGCATTTAATCTTGTACACCTTGCGCAGAGGAGAGGGTTGCGCCCGACTAGACATGGGCATTGCTACCCTCACTCCTGGCAAGAGTGAAACTCAGACATCGCATGGAAGCGCGTCTCGGCTCTACACTCCTACCTCTACGGATGCATTCGCGCATCTTCCAGTGCGGGTGATACGGGGCATCTGCTTGGATTCCCAGCAAACGCCGAACACTATGGGTGACACTGCATTACAGCGGAAACTTAATACTTCAATGCCAGGAAGGCAGCCACGCCGGCTTTGATCCACTTGTCTACTACCTGGTCAGTCTTCACCTCGATGTATAGCACAAAGTTGGTGGAGTGCCCTGTGGTCAGGAGTGTACCTTTTCGCGATACCACCTTGTAACATGGACACCGGTAGTCCAGAATGTTGGGAACACGATTCTTTACAGGCAGGAACTGCAGCGGCGGCATGTCCGTAAAGAGCTCCTTTGGCCTCGACTCTTCCAGCTGATGCGTTGTGTTGTCAAAGCGGGCGCCTTCTAGGAAGATGCCATAGACGTAGACTCCATCATCAGGAGGTACAGTCAACTGCGCAGGTCCGTCGCTAATGTGGTCCATCGTTTGGTGGCTAAAAGACAGCAAGTCAATTTCTTCCCCATACTTCCGGGCGAAGTTTTGCATGGCCCCCGTGAAGAAGGCTTGTGGGAAGAAGATGCCGCTGATCCAGAAAACCGGCGGAGCATGACCCAGGTCAAACCACATCTGGAAGAACCTCGACGGATCCAAACTTATGTCACACAGTGGCTGGACCGGCCACGAAAAACGAAAAACGTTTGGGTACTTCAATCGCCGCAAGGAACCCAACTCGTGCAAGAATGTCCAAGTACCAGCTGCTCAGCGGCTTCAACGACAGAGGACCTTTCTTTGACCACCTCAATTCTTAGACTCATAACAGCTCAGGGCCGTTAGTTTGAGAGGCTAGGATCCTTGCATCTCTGGGACTTCATTCACAAACAAAGATTTGCCGGCAGCTTCAAGCTCAGCAGTCATCACAATGAGTCCTGGAGCCACGAAGGTCAGCTTACAGAAAACCATGACCACCACGAACAAGAAGCCCGGCCTTTGATTGCCTTGCGGAAGTCTTTCAGCGAGCTGGTCATTGACCAAATTAGCTTGTTGTAGCGGAGGCACTCCTGCTTGACCACTGTGTTCATTGACTCCTCGTACCTCGATATAGGCAAACACTCATGACAGTTAGGCTGCGACTCCACTGGCAGCACGCAAAGACAAAGACTCACCATGGTTCCAAGTAGCTTTTCTGCTGAGCAGAGAATCCCCATCAGTGCAGCTGAGTGGCAAAGTTGGGAACTTCGTCTCACAAACGTCTAGCGGAAAGGGTTTTGGTAGCCGATCTTGGATTGACGCTGCAGTGTCATCCATGACCTCAGGCTTTCATGCTAAAATGTGCCGAAACATGACAACCTGCATAACAGTAGGGTTGCCTCCGGTGGACAACAGAACGGGTGGTGCATGCGACCGGGACACGGATTCAGCTGACCCACCCTCGCCACCACCGGCGCTGAGCGAAACCTCAGGAATAATGGAAGCGGAAGCTTTGGCCTAGTCCTTCCGGCCAGCTGCTGGGGCAGCGGCCATACTCTGCATCCCTGTTAGGAGCTTCAAAGCTTCATCTTGGGCACACGTGATATTGCAGTTCTCGTGCAGGCCAAATGCTTCAGGCATGGGATATAGCGGTAGGCCTGCCAAGCAGAGTCAAGCTTCAGAAAGGCTCAGAACATGCCAATGCGCAGCGGACACGAGGCCTTTGATGTAAGTGACAAACTCTTCAATCGTCTCTGCCGCTGGTGCATAGTAGAGGCCACTTGTTGAATACTTGTAGCCGTCCTTCTGCTCTACAGACTCTGAACAGATGAAAGTTTGAAGAATCGTGGATATAAGAAGCTTGTCTTTATCGTCTGTTACTCGGCCGCCGTAGTTGATCTTTGCACCCAAGAAGTTCAACACCTTATACGGAACTTGCTCGTACTGGTTCACGAAGAGCATGAGCTGCTGCCGGCACACTTGCAAATCTTCCGGGGTAAAGCCATAGGCAATATTCCAGCCAATCGGACCGAACTTTCGCCTATCTTGTACCACGGCATGGAAGAAGCAGAAGCCGAACAGCAGTGTCTTGAAGATCTCGGGCTTATTAGACTCTTTGAAGAGGTCATCAGAAAGCGCGGAGTAGGAACGGAGGAGGTTGGCTCGAAGACCGGAGGGTGGCTCGTTGGTCATCTTGACTCCATTCTGCAAGACCTGGACTGGGAAAGACTTGGCAGGCATTGAGGTGAGCCAAAGACGGAAGCTGGTCTGCATGTTGTCAGGGTTAAACTGTTCCACGATAGCCTCCAGAGAAGGCATCCAGGACTCCATTAAGTGGCAGTTAGACAGCAGGACCCACCCGCCACTGCCCTGAGCGTTTTCGATCAACTTCATGGCCTTGGGCCCCTGCCCCTGCCCAAGCGAAATCGACTCAAATCGCTTCAGCATGCCGAGCTTATCAGCGAAGGCAATGACATCTGACACTGGATCTGTGCCCGGCGACAAGATGAAAATCAGAGGCGTCGTGTTCACGGAGTCCGCGAAGGACTTGCTGATGTCAAAAGTCGGCGGTTCCACAAATGCTTGCCCTATCTGCTGTGAGATAAACGTAATGACGGACGCTTTAAGGCAGTCGATGCGCATGGCTCGGATGAAGCACATCTTCTGCATAGGGGTAAGCTTGCCCTCCCACTCGCCAGGCAAAGTCTCCTTATCAGCTTCCACGGAATCGTAGAGCCGCTTGAAATCTGACACATGTGAGGCAAAGTAATCGGAGAAGCCTGCAAAAGCTGGAAGGGTCGACAAGGTCAAGATCTCATTCCACCGAGGCTTGCCCACCCACTCTTCCGGAATTGGCGGCCCCTTCTCCACCAAGTCCGCAGTCGGGCCTACCTGAAAATGCAAGCGCGACCTATGCACAGACGCCGTTGGACACTCTGCGTGCAGCCAAAAGCACCAGCAAGAATCGCAGCTCGGCATCGTCCAACATCTTGTCACCTCACACCGGGTTAGCTAAAAGATAGGCTGTGCAGCAGACGTTCAACTGTTGCGCATTGCATTGCTGCAGTATGCTCAAGGCATGGACCTCTAAGAATGCTGGTGCAGAGCGCGAAGGAGAATAGCGTCTTATCCTTCTCGAACAGTCCGCGGCAGATCGACTGATACAGCGCCTCTGTGAAGAAGCTCTTCAGTATGCCAAGGCCTGATGAGGGCAACAAAAAGCCGAACAGCACAGCAGAACAGCATCTGCCTACGTCAAAGCCAGGCGACGCTCTTCGAAGTCTTCTGACTTGGGCGACGTGTCAATAGCAATTGTGAACAGCTTCTGGAACCACTGCAAACTATACCTTTCAAGCAGGTGCAGCAGTTGGCAACATAAGACGGAAGTGACATTTGAAGGAGTGCGCGATTGCATCTGAGCTTCTGGTACATGGGATCAATGTTTGTAAGCTCCACAATGCAGAAGAAAAGCACGGCAGTTCTGAATGCCACGGGGCGATAGCTTTCACGTGCTGTATCGATGTTCTTCTCTGTCACCTGAAGCTGTTACAAGCAGCTGCAAATGTTGGAAATCCAGGAATGTGCGTTGTCGTGCGCCTCTGCCACTTTTTTCTTTTCGTTGATGTCGTCTGAGACGGCTTTCGAGTCCGTTACCTGCACTGCCAAGGTGACGCGCCACACAACTCCAATAAGGCAAATCAAGGCCTTGTCAACCAGTGTGTCGTCTTCCAGTACATCGCCCTCGCTAGTAGCCAGAAGTCGAAGGATGTCATCCTCGATGTCTTTCAAGATCTTATTGTTCTTTGCGTTTTGCACCACCAGATTGTTCTTCTCTTCTTCGAGGTCAGGACCTTAGTTTGATCTGTAGCTGTGGCGGAGGCATGCACAGTATTTATGCCCTTGGGGGTCTGACGCTCCTTCGCCACAACGATTCCAAGCATCTGGTCCTGGCTGTGAGGCTGAGGGAGCGTGGATAATTGCTGCTGAGCTACGGAGGAACTATACTGTAACTGGAATTAGGTGGTGTATAGGCTTCAAACACACGCGCTGGTCCTCCAGTCCGCTGGGTGTGATTGCAAAGTTAAGCCTTCACAGCGTGATGATCTGCCAGTCCAGTCAACATGTCCAGATTCAGCCAGGTAGCAGCGTCACCTTCACGGAGGTCTCAGGCCTGAGGCACATGACAGCATCCCGGCAGCGCATGCAAGAGTACTTCAACCTAACTTGAAAGACCAAGATCCCCACGAGTAGTGAGGGTTTGGTAAAGTGGTCGTCATGAAGAACTTGAATGTCTCCTGAGCATTGATCCAATGACGGTCTCACAGTTGTCATTGCCATGGCGCTTGTGCCAAGACTCGGTGTATGTGACTGACTTGTCGCCGAGCTTGATGACATAACCGGCACCATCCTGCGGACAGCTTAGAGCTGAAGCTTGCAGGCACGGCAGAGGAGTTTGCAACCAGCATCTACGGTCAAGCAGCAAGCACAGCAGCAGGCGACAAAGGGTACAGGATGGTACAGGGCAAGCATCAGCCAGCACATGCAAATGGAGGAAAAAGTGCTTCAGCCCCAACGTGAAATGTGTGCGCCCATAATTGTGCACATCTTTTCTCAGCTGGTGGAATGTGTGGTGCAAGGCCATCCTTGACCTTCTGCTGGCCCAGCACTGGCTCCAAAGCAGGGTCGAGATTGATCCCAATGTTCTCCAGCCTGAGTACAGAAACCATGACACATCCAATGTACTTCGCGGCCGTTGTTTTGTGGCACGGATCTGAGAAGCCACACAAGATCCACTTCCCAAACTGGATGCCGAGCTCCAGCCTGGCAAAAGTGTGAAAAAGCTTTCTTCATGGAGGGCTTTCCCGCCCAAACAGGTTCTGCACGCCAAGCTGCGTTCGCAAGAAATTCTTCTCGCTGAGCTTGCAAACGTCAATCCCTGTTTCTGTGTCCTGCCACAGCCAGATGCATTACGAAATGCATTGCAGACACGTCTGCTTCACCCCGAAAGACAACTGCACCAGCCTTGCCCATGTTCTTGATATACTTGTTAGCCTGTCGCTGCGGATCGATCATGAGAGGCCAACGCCTGACAAGTAATGTCGGCGAAAGGCCTGCAAAATGGTCTCGCATCGAGAGCCTGGCCTTGCGCGGTCAATGATGATGCCGTTCTCGATCGAGAGCTGATCATTCGGGAGGGCACACACCACCCACTGCCTTGGTCCGACTTCTTCACAGGTCCCTCCGCGATACTTCATCACATGCTGAGCTGAGCTGCTGGATCTTGACCGGATCGCCCAGTACAGTCGACATGCTGCATCCTGTTTGTCACTTGAGCTTGAGATATTGTCACAGCAAAATCTGCACATCTGACACCATGCGCTCCTTTAGTATGCGCCATGTCCAGGTCTGTCAATTCTTTTCGCCAGAGTTCCTCACAATCGCTTCGAACCTGGGAGGTGAATGGTCCAGCCTGAGCGCATGCAAATGCCTTTCTGTGAAATCCGTTGGCAGGCTGCGTGTTCCAAATGTCTATTTGCAGGTACAAGGAAGAATCTTAGCGCAAGGCGTAGGAGACCATGCCGGCAGCCACAATGCAATCACCAGGCAAAAGTCCTCGGTGATGGTTAGGACAAGCCATGCCGCAGATGCAAGGCTGCCATGAAGTAGCGGAGAGAGCGCCACACCAAGGCACCCCGCTCATCGGCTAGCATGCATTGCATGCGAGCATGAAAGCATAGAAGGCTTGAAGCAAGCTTGAGCGCCAAGAGTCCAAGCTGCGCATTGAGGTCCTAACGGTCGTGTCTTAGCAGGTCGTCTGCAATGCACCAAGCTGGTTTCGCCCCGGCACCACTCTCCTTCACGTTCTGGCCCCAGCGTGCTTTCTCACCACCCAGGCCACCAATCAGCTTGTGCCTGCTTTCCGCAACACCAAGCGCAGATATAAGGAAAGGCCAGTGAGGACCAAACGCTCGCTGTAATTTCACCTCACACAAGTTCATGTCGTCTTGGAGCTCCTGCAACCCAACAGGACGCAGCAGGCAAGTTACTTCGTCGGGTCGGGTCTGGGAGTGTCCTTCTGCTTTTCCACTGCTGCGTTGAAATCAGCCTGGCTGACAGAGCCATGCGACACAGAGGATGCATCGGCACCGCCCAAACTGGGTGGGCCTCCAAGGCCGCAATCTTGTTCCTTGGGCTAATAGATGCAGCAGACAGACAGCCACAGAAAGGGGCACCGGCAACCCTTTCAGCCTGGATTTGCTTAGTTTAAAGGAGTCAAGCCAAGAAGCTGTACTTGTCGAAGCTTCGACTGGGCGGCATCAAGCTTCTCCTTCGAGGGGAAGTCAAAGGACCAGAAAAAATCACCAACACATGCGAAAGAACTCCTCCAGTCTCCTACAATTCCGGCCTGACATTCTGCCAATTCTGATTCCGCCTGTTTGAGGAGCTGACGCTTTGGCCTGTGGAAGACCCGCAGCCCATCAACCAAGGCACAACAAATTCCACTGATTTGAACTGCCGGGTCCCGTGCTCAACCGCTTTCGCTACAAAATGATACTTGTACATGGCTCGGACCTTACTCCCGACTGACTCTCGCGACCCAAGAAAACGCATCAGTCAAAGAACTGAGCTGCAAGCCCACAAGCACAAGGCTTCGCAGGCGATGGAGGCCTGCAAATGAGAGCAATGCTTACAAGCTGCAACATACAGATGCAATACTTCGCCGCTTCCCTCTCTTGTCCTGCTAAACAATTTCCTGCCTTTTTGATGGCAGCGGGGTCAAAATCTTCTCTGTCGATGTAAGGCCCAATGGTCTGGATCACCTTACCACTGGAATGTAACTCCACATAAGTGACAAGGTATCAACTTATATTCAATGACCCGCCTTGTCAGGGATGTTGTCCTTGTCAAAATCCATGAGGTCTTCCAGAAGCTTCTTGGCATCCACCAGCACCTTGCGCCGGAAAGAATCCGCGAACAGTTCTCAGCAGCACACGTGGTATTTACCAAGTGCGCCGTATGATGTTTCAGTGAGTGAACCTGCTTCTGCGATGTCTCCCAGTAATCCTGTACAGGATTGGGCCAGCCAAGTGCAAGGCTTGCTAGGGTATAGAGCATGCTGCGTGGCTGCGTTGCCGCCTCGATCTTCTTTGAGGGATTGCTGGGATCCGGCTTCTTGACTGGCTTGAGCTGAAACCTGTTCAGCCCTTAAATAGACACGTCTAACACCAGGAGGGTGCCGCAGGCCATCTCAGGCTCCTGCATGATACACACACCTTCGCATGCCAGTCGCACACCAGCTGGTGGATTCGCAAGCGCCTTCACTTCCTGGATGTGCTCCTGGAAGCAGACGAGATCACGAAGGATGCAATTTCTGCTCGGCACTCCACCGCTCAGAGGCTAGCTGAAGACTAGATTAATTAGATCCATCCCCAGAACCTTCTTGAGCTTCCTCAAACATTCCACCTTTGCGATCGAGGGTTACACTGTTTTCTCAGGGTGCTGCAAAAAGACTTTTGAAAAACGAAGGTGGCAGCTTTGCTGGGTCGAGTCCCCCGCCGCTTGGTCCAAAGCCGGCAGTGCCTCGTCCAAATCTCGCTGGGCATCATCCTGGCAAGGCCGCACGCGACTCTCAGCAGCACATACTAACACAATGGGCGCTAGGCCGCTGTCCTTGATAGCTTGCGTCTCTTCAGCTTTGACTGCGGCAGAAGCCTCCTCTGCTGCCACAGCCTGCGAGGCGTTTTGGCGCAGCACAAAGACAATGCAGACTTCGAGCTTATGATACATCCACTATGTATCCCTTACCAATATCTTGCCTGGCTGACTTCCTCCGCCTCACCCTTATCTTTTGTAATGACCACCTTGTCAAAAAGCCAACATTTTGCAAACATGCTCGGTGCAACCTGGTCATCCCTACAGTCATACGGCACACCATCATCTCGCCAACTTCTTTCTGCGTCTTTTCTAGCACGGGCCTCGCAAAAGTCACGCATGTGTTGTTGCTGCTTTCCAAAGAAATGGAGTGACGAGTGAGTCCCGAACTTCTTTTCAACCAGCATCTGCTGGAGGCCCGCCACTTGCTCTTCAGCATCTCCAATCTTGCCCAAGCCTAAGTTATGACGTTCATCCATTTTACTTTGAAAACCTGCCAACAGCTGCTAACATCTCAGCACATTACCAACGCTGTATCTGTGTTGAAGCATGCCAACCTTTTGGCAACAAGCTGACAGTAACAACGACCCACCTCATCAACGCCTATGGGTGCGACCCAGCCTGCTTGCGCTTGTCGGCGAGGATGCCCACGAAACTGGTCAGCAGCTCCAGGAAGGAAGTAGGCGTGACCTGCACCCACGAACGAAGCAATGGACATGGGGGACATGGGCCTGACAGCACTGGCCCAAAAATGGGGCAATGACGTACACGTGCCGGTTCGTAGCTTTCAGGAAGAGTTTGGACGATGCTTCTACGCTTTGGTGGATGGTTTGGAACCTCGGTCGAGAAACCGAGCGTGCATCAGTCGGCTATGCCATAAACACGTACACCTTTGCAAGCCCCTCTCTGCCCGGGACATCTTCAGCGATCCTTCCAGGTTCGGGAGTTCCACCTGGGGTGCTGTCATGTCAGCACTCGACAGCTCGTCGTTCAGTGAATGGCAGAAATACATGCTGCACAGCAGTCTTACATCGCTTGCATGATTCTGGGGCATACGCGTTCTGGCCAGTGATCTGCTGCTTGGCCACAGAATAGAGGGCTTCCGCTGGCCACTCGTGGAACCTCAGCAATCTCATCAAGGTTCAAGATGTGTGGCTTGGATGCCTTACTGCCCAAGTGCGTGACCAGTCAATGGTACAGCAATTGACCAGTGACGGGAAACTTCCTTGGACACGGGTTCTGATACAATTCTGACACTTGTCAAGCAACCGTCCCGATGCCCCACAGAGACACAAAAGGTGCTTGGACGCCGCTACCATGAAAACCTACTATGCCAAGGCTCGCAAACGATTCCTGAAGCTATCGCCCACAGGCGAGAAAGCCAAAGTCACATGGACGTTCTTCTTCACCCGACCTTTGCATGTCGCCCAACTGCTACAAGGCATGTCAATGAAATACACTGGGCTCTGACATGCTGGGCGCAACACTCAAATACGCACTAAACAAATTTGCCTTTGTTGGCTGCATGCCCATCGACCTGACATGCTTGGCGATTTGCAGCTTGCCATGAAGCAGAAGTGGCGGGAGTTCTGCTCTAAGATTGCAGCTGACAGAGCTGACGGCAAGATGATGAGATGGCTTCGAAATCTTCGTTGGCATACAGATTGGGCCTTGCAAGCCAAGACACAACGGCAAGTCCAGCATGCGCCCTGATAAGTGCCCGGCACGTCGCCACTGTTCAGCACATTGTTGATGGCCTGCAACAGCAACCCAAAGAAAGGTTTGCTGCCCACCCCGAAATGTTGTTGTCGCTGCGTTCCTCTTATGGCCTTTTTACACTTTTGGGACCTTATCATTCTTGTCTAGCACAGGGTTGCTTGCACAATCCCACTTGGGAGTCGAAGTCTTGTGAAGCATCACCCTCTGTTCGTACGAAGAATGTCAGCGCATGCCTCCACAAAGTCCTCCTTCACGATCTGCGTGTCACAAAATAAGAAGATCTGCACCTGGGCATTGGCAGCCAGAACCAAATCAAATCCATAAGAAGCTATAGGGCTATAAGGTGTAAACCTTAGCTCCCCATCAGTGCAGGGTACTTGTACTACTACGCGGAGCTGAGACTAGTTGCATTGATCAGGACACAGCTTTCTTCAGGGTGCCAGAACCAGGCCTTGTCCTCTACGCCGCATTTCATGAGACATTTCTTGACCTCAGGGCTACTTGTAGTCGTCCAAGAAGAGTAGCAGCAATGCGGTAAGCTTGCAACGTCGTCTTTGAACTCCGTCATTCCATATCCTGCGCAGCAGGGGTATCTCAGGAAGAAATGGCGAATCGTCAGCATCTGTAAATTCTGTAGATGAATATGAGATCACGTGCTGAGCTTTGCCTTTCGCGACCTCGATCTGGAAGCAATCTGCTTCGTTCATGTAGGCAGACCTGACGGCTAGATTAGATGCGACAGGGAAGCACAAGCACAATCTATGAGTCACTGCGTGTTCGTCTTCCTGAGAAACATGCAGGCGAGTGAGACTCTGCCTGCCGCTTCCACCTCACACCATGAACTAGCAAAAGCACTTGCCAACGAGGAGTCATTCAGCGAGATAGGGCCGTTGCCAACTCCGAGCAGCAAGACATTGCCGTTGGGCTGGCTCAGAACGCGGCAAATGCGCGCCTCAGCTGAGCCGTGCTGTGCGCAGCCGCACCCAAACACGCTGACCACTGCACAAGAACAGAAGCTCGCATCAAATAATGAGACCCCTGCGCAGTGCTCGCAAGCATCAAGGAACATCACAAGCGGCATTGTGATTGAGAAAACCTGACGGTGCTCTAGCTCTGGACGTTGCCTGGGACATTCTGAGACACAATTGGTGGCCCAGGCCTGGTTGTAGTCCTCCAGATATTCCTCAATTGATTGCTTCATGGCCTCACCAAGCAGCCACACAGATGCAAGGGCAGGCTGTCAGAGTCTCAGCAAATCAGATTGCACCCATCACTGCCTGCATGTCCGTAACCTCGTCATATGTTCGGTTCTCTACCTGGCACATACTAGCTCGACAGCATGAACTGATGAAAGCTACAATGAAACAAGCATGGCAAAGGCTGCCTCCTGTGTCAAGAACGAAGCGAAGATGAGCCGCTCCTGGCTTAGAGGAGCAGTAAGACTGTAGTCGGTCAAGGGCTCCGGGGGATTCCTTGTTGAAGATGTCTTCAAGCTTCTGCCCCAAATCCTGATGAACAACAAGTCTTTGGCTTCTGCGGCAGGCATTGACAACATCCCCCCCAGTCTGCCAGGTGTTCCCGTTTCCATGAAATTGGTCTGCTCTTGCACTTGTCCTGGCCCACCGCTGTCTCGACCTGCGTCTTCATCCACTGCAGGTCTTGGCTGTCCTGGGTATCGGGCACATGGCTCAGTGAGAAAATTGCAGCGTATGCAACAGGTATTCTTGCAGGCATGCGTCCGTCAGCCGATCACCGAACACGCGCTGGATCTCGTGAGCCCAACATCGGGTCACCTCATCAGAGGGAGTGGTGCAGGGACTCTCCAAACCCACTCGCCTCAACAGCTGGGTCGGGACGGTCAGGGCATTGTTGGACTTCTTGGAGCTGAGACTGCACATGCCCAGGAAGACCTGGGCTCATCCATGATGCTTTGAAGCTCCACCCACGTCCGAGGCCAACTCGCCTTCCAAATGTCGCGCAGGTTGAAGAGGTAGTGGGACTTTGCCGGTGTAGGCAGCAAATCATTCAATGCCTGCCAGGAAAAAATACCCATGTGACCAATGACCAAGGGCTGCAGGCCTGACAAAGTAGCTAATGGCTAACGCAAAGGCTCATCCTCTTCCCAAAGAATCAACGAAAGCTGCACTGTAATGGACTGAGCACCTTTGGCCTGTCCACCTCTGGCAGTGAAACGGAAGAAAGGATTTCTCTCCGCCGAGACCTGCCCTGATGGCAGCTGAACAGCCACTTTGGCACCGTCCAGCATCAGTATCTATACAGCAGTGCTCGCAGGCTCAGTTTTGGTGGCTGCTGCTTTGCCCTCATGTGGCGTAGCCTTTTATGGGATTTGGGCCAAGAGAAGCCAAACCGAAGTGACAGCAGGATACGGCAGGTGCTGAGGCCTTTGCTGTGACCTTCTCCGACGCTGCTTTGACAACTGACCTCGGCTGCTAAAGTTCTGCGAGCCTGACCTTGAAAAATGGTGCTGAGCGCACGGCAAAGTTCTCACGAACTCAAACTTGTCAATTTCATCCAGAATCTTGCTCAGGTCGAAGGACTTCTGGCTTCGGATTTCCTGCCGCGCATGCTGCGATGGCATGCAATGACAGCAACGAAATGGCCATCTGCAGTCAAGGAACTCCCGGAGGGCGCATTAATAAAAGGTCCAAGAATTCTGGCTCCTTGCATGTCTTTGGGCACTGCAAACTGACACTACACTGACGTTCAAACCCTGCCACGCTAGGTGACTTTCTGCACTTGAAGAAGTAGACCCTGCCTCCGTGGCATCCTGGATCTTCTGCTGAAGAGCGCGCGCCAGATTGTCTGACTTTAAGTCAGAGTGCAGCAGCAAATCCAGGAATCGATTCACCTGCCTTGGCTGATCACAGCTGTGTCACTTGAACGGGACAGGGCAGTGCCAGGATGACACGAGCGAAGCGTTTGCGAGGCGAACCATTCCCCCATGTCCAGCAGATGGCCAGGTATGTTGTAGCTACAGCACTGGCGTGTTGTGCATCAGGGTCACAGTTTCATTTCTGTCACTCACATGCCAACATGGCTAAATGCTTGGCTTGGCATTCCGAATACCCTGATCCTTAATCATGGTTCAGCAGCTCAGGAAAGTAGCCCGATCCGTATCTTATGAGTATGTAGCCATGAAGGAGACTATCAGGACGCTGCGTGCAAACATGTCGCAGGTGGGTTTTCCAACGCTGCAGATCATCTGCTGGCAGAAGCGCCTGAGAATCCACTGGCCACACGAAGCCCTCTCACCATCGGCAAAGCTGTGCCGAACATCAAGTTTGGGTCGAGAGACCAGACATCTGAGCACGTCTCGAATCCTGTCACTCCCGCTCCTGGCGCAGAAACAGGACCGGCCTGTCTCGCTTGCAAGCTACGGAACTCTTGTGCGAAGCCTGGCAACCATTGGCGACAACAGAGCTGCTGGCCCACAGCGCTGGCACAGCTTTACCTAGCATGCCGTGACCAGGTTGATGTAAACCGGGTCGTACAGAAGGCTGAGTGCCCAGCTAACAGTCTCAAGATGCGCCCGAAAGTGTGGGCTTGAGATTGGATTCCATCTTGAGGTAGCTCAATCAAAGCCTGGCACCCAAAAAGTTAGGGGCTCAGTATTCAGGATGCCGTCCAAAGCAGGCTGGACATCAAGTTAACATGGCCTGTATGAGCTCCTCCACTGGATTCACTTTTGCTCTCTTCTTCGCCTGTTCGTGAACGTGCAGCTTCTGGACCGACACCTTGTCAGGCACCATTCAACCACCGTTGTGCCATCATGTCCGCTGTGCGCGATGAGCTGGACTGAGGATTGGACCAAGAGGGCATCAATCGGCTCCAAGCTTTCGCAAGCGGTAACCACCGCCCGGCGCACGAAAGACGCCACCACCCAGGGCGGTGGCCTTCGAAGTGCTCGAGCCTGTCGCTCCGGCACTTGGCTGCCTGGTCATGTTACGCGGGTGCCACTTGCCTTTCATCCATTGCATTCTGATGAGCTCTGCCTTGTACCAGGGCAATTTGTCGCTGTAGCGATTCTAGCATTAGCGCCAGACCGCCCCCAGAATCCAAGTTGCCGGACATGGCCAAAGATGCCAGCGCTGCAATGGCGGCAGACTGGTCAAAGGTCTGCTTGTGCAAGAATTCCTCAAATTGTCTGCAAGAGTATGCAGCAGGAAACCACTAACACTTAACGGAACGTAATTTAGTGCAACTCAGGCGCCAGGGGCGTGTTCTTCTGGAGGGCAGGCTTGGGGCTGTTGCTTCCAGTTCTGAGCAGCTTGATAGCATCCGACGCGCTCCCTGCCGGTGGTTCGTCCTTCAGTAGAATGAATACTGTTCAATCCTCGTCTGATAGACATGTGCGGCTATCAAGCCCAGCACAATCTGAGGCTGGCTCTGGAACGCTGCTCATATGCTGCTCAAGGAAAGGTATCTTGCCCGATTCGATTGCCTCAATTAGCAGCTGCCGAGGCATCAATTAGTTGGGATCAGCATTGGACAACAAACGGCCTGCATGAGCATTTTGACAGCTGCCGCAACGTGCGATCCTGTGGCACACTGCCTCCAGTTTATGCAACGGAGGACACAAAGTGCCGGCCCGTTGCATGTTCTCCTTCATTTTGTCACAAACATACACCGCAGCCTTTCACATTGACATAAGCTCGCTAGCGAAGCGGTCCTGGAAGCAAGCTGGTCACCAATCTCTCCCAGCAAGGCATTCATGTCTTTCGGATCGACCAAGCCTTACACGATTTGAACATCAGGTGTTCACAAAACGGAGCTATGCATGTGTAAATCTCTTCGCTGCACTTTAGCTCAGGGGCCGTTGTTATCGAAAGCGACCACCATGTGGTTGCAGCTCGGCGCGATTGTGCTAGTGAGCTGGGCAAGCAGGGCCCAAAGCTGACCCTGTCGCAATCCAATTCTTCGCAGTCTGATCAAGAAGTTGCTTAAAAACATGAGCACCCTTACAAACACCTGGCCTTACTCATGATCTCAGAGCAATGCTCTTCATCTTTGCGCGGCACAGCTGTGAAGGTTCTCATGATGCAGCGCATGGCTGCCAAAGTGATCAGATTTCGGACATCTCCCAGCAGCTGAGTTCCCACCTTAGGCTTTGAAAAAGGACTAGTTTCCGACTGCCTGAGTTCCCAAATCCAAAACCTCTCACATATTGCCCGTACTAAGGATGGTACCCACTGGCCCGCAGCAACTACGGCAGCAGCAGAGAACAGAAGCGCTTCGACCAGGCAGCATTCCTGTTCCAGCATGGCTTCTCTGGCACGCATGACAACAGAACACGCTGATTCCCTACCCATCCCGTGCTTCTTCTTGCTGCAAAGTTTCGTAAGTTGCCTGGGACTGATGCCGGCCAGTTGCAGCAATGATCCCTGGGCAAGGCAGCGACGCAAAGTGAGCCAAACCAACCACAATGCCGAGTCACTTTCACGAAAATCCTCCAGCTTTGACGTGCCTTGGATGCTAGAACTAGATTCATGATGTGCTGATGCAAGCTGGCACGCCGTAGTCGGTGGCAGCCTACTTGCAGCAAACATCTACCTTCGGCCCTTGGGCTAGATGTTTAACGGCTTGTTGAAGTCAACCAAAGCTGGCAGCTCAATCACATCTGGAGGGTGGAGACTTGTGTGGTGCCATGTTTTCTTTTTGTTAACCCTTTTTATTTTGGTGGGGGCTGGGGAGGAGGGGTCATGGGCGGGGATGGGGTGGTGAACGGGGGTAAAGGGAAGGCATGAAGATGATAGAAAATGCTGGAAGATCTTGAAACATGTTGAATGTAATGAATGTAAAAATGTTGCAATATGATGAAGATGGTTGAAATGATGCCATGTGATGCATGAGCAGTTGATAAAAACGGATGAAGGATGATGAAGTCTGATGAAAAATGTTGGAACATCATAACAAAGTTAGAAAACTTGGAAATGCTGAACAATGCTCAGAAGTGATCAAGATTCTGGAAACTGTTGAAGCATCATGAAATTCACGATGATCGGACATTACGAAAACTTTGCATTTTGATAAATGCCATTGAAACATCATGAAAAAGTGTTAACATCACAAAAGTGGTCAAACACGATGAAAATCATCGAATATGGTGGCAAGATGATGAACAATGATGAAATATGATGGAAAATCCTGAATAATGAAATGATGACAATGATGACATGTGATGAAAACAGCTTAAATAATGATATTTGGTACTAGTAGGAGTAAGGCAAAAACAAAAAAAAGTCAAAAAGTTGAAGTCGCGCACTACGAACTACTGGCGATAGGAAAACAAAACGAATAAGCTTCTGTGCGTATGTCTTGCTTTCGTGTCATTCCCTCTATCGGGATTTCTTCCTTCCCTTTCTGTCTGTTCTTCATGTATTTTTCTGTTTTCTTTCTTTGGTTACTATGACATTACCATCATTGCTACGGCTTCATGATTCCTTTCTTTCTGTCAGTCCGTCTTTCTACGTCTCTTTGGTATAGCATTAAATTGGAAAAGCACGATCTCGTATTTCCACTGGTATGTAAGTATTTTGTGGGCCTAAACAATGTCACAGAAACCGCTAAATTTCAAAATCTTCAATCCAGCATTTCCATAATGGAAGATTTTGACAGGAACGTATCCGTGGCAGAATACTGCCAGAATCGCAGCAGATTTCCACAATAGGAAAGCACACACATAGATAGTTCGCAAAATTCTGATGTTTGGTGACAAAGCAGCAGGGGGGGATCGGAGGATTTTGACGGTAAGAAACGGAGATGGCATGATGCTCAAGATGCTGATTCTTTCAGTCTTCTATGTCTTGCCTTTCTGTCTTTCTTCCCCGCTCTCCTACTCTCCACCATTCTTCCGTGCTTCCTGCATGGCCTGCATCTACGGAACCAAGGCCCATCGCATCAGAAAACAACAGTCCCCCCGGCCCCCCACCAAACAAAACATGTCCAAAAAATGGTTGTCCCACATCTGGACAATGATCTTCGCCTCTGAGTGTTGGTCAGCTTTGGTGCTGCAAGCGTTTTGCTACTGACCTGGCCTCGAAGCTTGACACTTCAGTAGTGGGCGACGTCTAGCATTAGATTGCAGAATTAGAGTTTGAAGCTGCCAAAGGCGCGGCAAGAAAACAACAAACAAAGAACAACAA